TTTCATAGACAATTGGACAAGTTTTTGGAGCAGACCTGACCTGTTGAAAAGAGATGGTCTTCATCCATCTCTGTATGATTCACAATCATACAGACTTAATATTGTCACATGTAATTGATGTTGTTGGCATTAAAATACTGAAGCAGAGAGATGACTTATCAGAACATTTATTGTCATGTATACTCCATTTGGCCAAGGATACAAAATCACCTCCTTGTTACAAATATGGTAGAACTTCACTTCTACCACTAAAAGTCATTTTGTTAATAAACTTCCTGATTTGTCTCAACTTCTCTGAATATCTTGATAGGAGAGGAAGAATTATATAATCTTGTTAAATAATCTAAATCAACAGCATGTATGTTAGACCCTATACCGACTAAGCTACTAAAAAGGTGCTTCCAGAAATCCATTTCTTAATGATCTTAGAGAATTAGTTAAAGGCACAATATGTAAGATTTGTTTATTAAAATATCCAAAAACCACTAGAACAGTGTTATATATTTTGCTGACTTGTGTACTTACATTATCCCAAATGTTTCGAAGAATGTTTAAATCCAGACAAATAAGCTATTTTAAATAGTGACACGGAACGTGTCTATAGTGTCATTGTGTCGCCTGCCAATGACGTAATAACTTTGACGTCATTGTTCTTTAGAAAACATGGAAACACCAAAGACGCTTTAATATGTTATGTGTTTTATTAGACGGGTGATGACCGCACAGTGTAGCATTATAACAGAACTTTCAAATGTATCTAGTATGATAAAACAGCGCTGCTATACCTCACATACGCACGACCGGAAAGAGCGGAAGCAGTCGACTGTGGCATAATAAAAGCTCCGCTGCTTTCGAGCCGTACATGTGTCGCGCTCGTTCAGCAGTCTCGTTTCGCTTCGACAGCTTTCAGCCTCACCCTGCTTCATTCTACTACGTTAATAAATCATTAGCTCATCCATGAACATGATTTCTGCCCGCGTCCCGTCGGATTGCATCGGCTGGATGAAGACGACAACTCCCATGATTCCACACTCAGTCACGGCGTATCATTAGGATATTAAGTAAAGATCATGTTCCATGAAGATATTTTGTAAATTTCTTACCGTAAATATATCAAAACGTAATTTTTGATTAGTAATATGCATTGCTAAGAACTTCATTTGGACAACTTTAAACGCTATTTTCTCAATATTTTGATTTTTTTGCACCCTCAGATTCTACATTTTCGAATAGTTTCTCGGCCAAATATTGTCCTATCCTAACAAACCATACATCAATGGAAAGCTTATTTATTCAGCTTTCAGATGATGTATAAACCTCAATTTCAAAAAATTGACCCTTATGACTGGTTTTGTGGTCCAGGGTCACAGATAATGAAGAAAAATCCTCATTAAAAGAAAACATTAAGTAGCTCGTCATAATCTTTTATTTTTATTTACATTACAGAAAAATTACAAAATGGCTTTAATTCTTAAAAAAATATTTTGAAAACATTTATCAAATTAAAGTCATGCGGTGCGACCAACATGCTAAAATAACAGTATAAAACGTCAATCTCAATGTACCCTTATGACAGAAATCATTGCACCCACCTGCCTATTCTCCAGATCGATTTTGTTGCCCAGCACCACAAAGGGGAAGTTCTCTGGGTCACGCGGGCTGGCCTGGATGAGAAACTCGTCCCTCCAGCTGTCCAGTGTCTTGAAGGTGTTTGGGGCAGTGACGTCGAACACCAGCACACAGCAGTCGGCACCGCGGTAGAAAGCAACACCCAGAGACTGGAACCGCTCTTGACCTGCTGTGTCCCATATCTGAATGAAACAACACAGAACACTCACATAAACCTTCATTCATACATGGACATTCTGTCAGGCTGCATTATAAAACACATTTAAAAACAGACATACAGATTTATACAGTATGCAAGTGACGCTGTTATCATTTTTGTGTTCCTCAGTAGAAATAAAACATCATACATTTTTGAAACCATATTAGGGTGAGTAATGACGACAGAAATAATATTTTTGTTGAATTGCATCCTTTAAAGCCTTCTCTCAGTCTATAAAATGAAAATGTAAAGCTAGTTGAAGTAATGAGATGACACGCATTGGTATGGGAAAAGAAAAATGCTTCAGATGCTTTCATTTTTTTTATTTCACATGCTTTTAGAAAAATAACCGGTCATCTCTACCTGCATTGTGACAAGTCGGTCATCAACCATCACTTCTTTTGTCAGGAAATCTGCTCCTATAGTAGCTTTGTACTGATTACTGAACTTCTTATTCACATACTGGTTCATCAGAGATGTCTTCCCAACCCTGTTGATACAAAACAATATTTATACCCGCAAAACAGGAGAACCAACACATCTATTTGTGACTGTGCAGAACTAGGAGTCATACCAAATGAAACGCTCTACGAACATTAATAATGCAGGCCATAACAAAATTTACATTCCCTTTATGAAACAAACTACTTTCTTGAGAATTTATATCCCACCAACAAACTTTCCCATCTGGAAAGCTCATAAGAGGAAATGAGGAAATGAAAGGCTTTTAGGAGGTAATAGGGTGTAACTGGATGTTTTTACAGCTGTGTATTTATAATGCATGTTCAAACATTTCTATATACAATTTTGAGCTGAATATCTAAATGCACGTGGCATATCTCTGTGGGACACGGTTCATTTAGCACTCAATGGCAACGGATTATAGTCCTGCCTTAAATTAAAAGTGCAATTAGTGCAGTTTGATTTATCCTATGATTGACAAGTTTAATAAAAAAAAAATTGTTATAAAATTAAAAATAAAATCACTCAGTGTCCATAAAAGTGTATGCAATAATAATAATAATTTATTTATATATATATATATATATATATATATATATATATATATATATAATTTTTTTTTTTAAAGCTTTCATGTTAAATTGTATTTCTGATCAAATAAATCCAGCCTTATTGAGTATAGGAGACTTCTCTCAAAACCATTTGAAATATCATACCCTAAATATTTTACATTTATTACAATAAAACTGTGAAAGTACATGTTTCTTTTTTTGTCATATAAACATCCAAAAATGGAGTGAGTCACATGTTTGTTCTGATTCAGCGAGCAATTTGTTAGACAGATTCAAACGGGAGTAAAAATAACCGACTCGTATATTTGTGAATCAGACTACACAGATCATGCTGTATGTTTGTCAGCAACAAAAATCAACGCAACAAAGATGTTTTGTTTGTTTTCTTCTTTATTATTCATATTTTGCTGTACCCTTTAAGCACAAAACTTCTCAACTCAAATTTACAAGCTCTTTTCCCATGGTGCTTTATATTTAGTAGCGTCACTGCTAAATATAGCACTGCAAGATACATTGCATTGAGTTCAAATCTATTTAAACCTTTAATCGATTAACAGAATGCTCTAAAATTTCACACTTAAAGGCATACTTCACCCAAAAATTTAAATTCGATCTTCATTTACTCAGCCACTGACTTCCATTTTATGGAAACAAAAAAAAACTAAAACATGGAAGCCAATGGCTACCGTCAACTGTTTGGTTACCCATATTCTTCAAAATATCTTCTTTTGTGTTCAACAGAAGAAAGAAACTCATACAGGCTTGGAACGACACGAGGGGGGTAAATAATGAACATTTTTGGGTGAACAATCCCTTTAAAAGCTAAATGAAAGTGGCAGTAGCCCCGACTTTATTACAAGGGCATTGGATGTGGAAACTCACCCAGAGTCTCCAAGAATGATCACCTTCAGAAGAACTTTCTTCCTTGATGTCATAGTGTCACAGCTGGGGAGGAGAAAGCACAGAGCATGAAGCCAAGATTTCAACAGCACAACTCCTATGAATAAAAAGGAAGTGAAAGCCAAAACTGGTTGTACTCAAACAGGCCTATTTCAAGGACATGCAGACAGGACAGGAACCGTGGCTTGTAGCATGTAGTAAGCTAACTACTATAGCTAAAAGCACAATCACCCATTTGATTGAACTTAACCACCTAAGGGTGCTATAAAAGCCTTTTTTGTTTCAATGACAAAACCCATGATTCTGCTTGCACTCTCAAACAGGTCATGTGCACTCTATCTACCAAAGTCACGAGAAACTAGCTCTTACAGACAACATGTACTGTTGCCCGCCTACTGTTAAACACACAGACTTCCCTTTTTAAGCGAGAACACGAAATGAACACGCCATTCACTAAATGCTTCTCCATTTTTAATCAATACAGCAGGTCCATCGGTTGAGGTACTGCTGTTTATCCAGGCCAGGAAAGTGAGGGTATGGATCAGGATCACTGCTAAACACTTTAGGAAGTTAATCAAAATGGCGTTGCATGGAATTGTACATCCTGTAACAACCACCACCATCAAAAAACTAGCTGGCATTAACGGAGGATCTCAGGTCACATAATATATTGTGCCAATAAACAACATTTGAATGGCAGAGCATGCAGCGATCATAAATTAGGATGACTACAACTTATTTAATTAAGTCATAATTTTTCCATATTAACCATATTAAAATTCAATATTATTTTGTCTTAATAAATAAAATAAAAAGTAGTAAATACTAAAACTAATCCTTTTAAATGCTACAAGTGAATTTAGGCATCATGATATTGTAATGTACAGTATAAAAAATGGAAATATACATCAGATTGGCTGAAGATTACATTTAACAGGCAATACTAATTATTCATTTTTTTTTAAATGATTAAATTACTGTTTTAAAAACAACTAAGTGTTTGATAATGGCAAAGGAGATAGATAGATAGATAGATAGATAGATAGATAGATAGATAGATAGATAGATAGATAGATAGATAGATAGATTAAAACCATGTAACCAATAAAACCAATAATTTAAACCATGGCATAGTTTGATAAGGTTTGATGTTTCTTTCAGCAATTATCTCAAAAATGTGAATCGTATCACCTTCAAAGACATATACAATAAAACACCTATAATAAAGATGGTATAGCGATACTAAACTTCTAATGATAAAAGTTCATTTGACTTTCTTGATCTAAATCAGTCTCCAGATTAATACAAGAGCAAACAATAGTTTCAAACTGGCAACAGAATCCGGATGCAAACATTTAGATGGAAAAAATATCTCTGCTTATGAGTAAACCGCAAGATATTACATCCAGACAATGTAAACCCACCTTTCCTGCTGCTATATTGAGAGTCATATCGGGGGGAGTGCTGTTTCAATGTTAAAAAATTAAAATAAAATCAGCTTTAACATTAAACAAACACTTTGTAAAACCACTGACATGGCATATGATCATAGGTTCAAGTGCTGAAACTTAGACCTATTAGTACCTTTTAACTGCTCATCTTCATATTATGTAACAACTGGGCTAAAACCAGGCAGATAAAATCAAATGTGGAGTGGATTATGTAATTAGTCTTTCATTTAGTAGTGAAAACAGCATCCAACGGCAAGGTTGGGCTATTAGGTTACATTTTGAAACTCAGAACAGTAGGACAGTTTTTAGCATGTCTGTGGAAATCAAGGCTTTCCATGTCATGTCAGTTTCGTTAGCTGAACAGTCGGTATGTTGCTAAATAACTGCACAATCCTCTGAACGCACTGTACTTTTTTTCTCACAGCCTAGTTTTCATTACTGTCAAAAATTAAATATAGCGCTACCGTGACTACCGCGTGAAGGTCTATGGTGCATGTTCAAAAAACTGATTTTGTTAGCTTTCATCAAGATAAGGCATCAGTTTTTCCACTTTAAATGCAGAGAAGTTGAGAGAAATAACTGTTTTTCGACATATCCCGCTCAAACCTTGCAAAACGCTTTTCTTGCTTCTTTCTACACCAAAATTAGCATGAATATCAAAATCCAACAGGCATTTCTTATTACCATGCAGATCCTACATGAAAGCTTAGCTTATGTTCACTGACAAATATATTTAGGCTACAAATAAGTAAGGCATCATGAAATGACCCTCAGGAATGCTTGATTTGCTTTAAAAATGGCTTACATTGAATTCCAATTACTAAAGAAAATATCTGAACAATAAATATAGTGTTCAACTTCAAGCAGCAGTAAATACTAAAAAGCTGCTGTAAGAAAAGCCCTCATCATGGTTCAGAAGGATTCACAAGTGGCCAGAAGAGCTCCTCCACACAAACACCATAACTCAAAGTCACCTACCGGGAACACTTGCTGTCTCTTAAAAGACATTGTAGTATATCACATTATTTCTGTAATACTACACAGCTATTACGAAAAAATGTAACTGCCAATAAACTAAAGAAATACATGGAAAGAAATGAACACCCCTGAAAATAACCAGGATATTGAAAAATCGCTGATGTCTTTCCTCTGATCGTCTTAGGGTTGAAACACAGCAGTGTTGAAATGAAGTAATCTCACGTGTACCCTGGCCAGCCCATATGACACATAAAATCACTATAAAGTCTTTAAGCCTCTTTATGGTTCATCTTCATGACAGTTCGGCTCTGTCTCAAAACCTAACAAGCTGCCTGCATACCTAGGCTGCATATTTGACTTGGACGCCCAAAATTAATTCTAGCTCACATAATGTTGCATTGCCTACTGTTTTTAAAAACATTATGTGACACAGAATGTATTAAGCAACACAAAATGTTAAATAATAGGATGCTTCATCATCACCACAACTTTATCACACAGACCTTAGTCTGGATAGCGCCATATTTAATTTTTGACAGGAGTGAAAACGAGGCTGTGAAGATAGAAGTACAGTGCGTTCAATGGAGTGTAGTACTACTGAGTGAACTACAACATACCAACTGCTGAGTTGACGAAATGTCTCTATGAAAAAACTTCCAGTGGACAAAAAGTCCTGTTTTAAAAATTGTGATTTATGAAAATGACATGATCTTGGACCTTTATACAGTGCATGGCATTTGAAAACTGCAAGTCTATTCCTCACAGCCTAGCTTTCATCTGTGTTATTTTCAACATGCTGCTGAACCTGATTAATTCAGTTTAATTTGTCTAATTCAGCAAGTAGAAATTTAAACAGATGTAACCCGATTTTTTTGTAAACCAAGCAGCCTTCTGTTTGTCAACCCGTTGTGAAATCTGAGTGGGAAAATCTTTCGACCTCACATGAGATTCCTGGATTTCTACTGAAAATTGTAAAGTTGGTACAGTAAATGTGGCTGCAGCTTTATCTTGTAATATAAATACATTCTCAGATATACTACTGCACAGCGATAATGTCAGCACGACCCTGATGTTCCTACTAGAGCCTGACCGATATATCGTTTTGCCGATATTATCGGCCGATATGAGCCTGTTGCCGATATATCGGTATCGGCGAATATGCCACCGATATGAACCTTTTTTTTTACAGAACATATAACGCAGATCAAATGCTTGAAATGGTGTAATTACTTAGTTTGTCCAGCAGAGCGCGCTCTATTGTTTGCTACTGGCGACCTGGATGAAATGCTTTTGAAGCTTAAGTCTATGGAAAACCACTGAAACTTTGAACGGCCATATCTCCGTAACAAATTCGGGGGATCCCTTCAGCTCGAGGAACCCTCTCGAACGCGAATCCTAGAGGCCTGCTTTCGAATGAGACCACCTCCGCGTTGATAGTCCCCGGGGTTTGGGAGTTACAGGTGGTTAAATTCACGATCCGGCACCGATCCCGGGGGGCTACCAACGTGCGGAGGGTGGCGTTCGAGAGGGCTCCTCGAGCTGTAGGGATCCCCCGAATTTGGTGGAGATCCGCCAGCGCGTTCGCGAGATAGTGACACCAGTCAACACTTTCACTTCAGTAAGGACTTGTTCAGGCAGCAGCATTCACCCGTTGTCTTATTCGACCGTAAGTGCCCTGCGAAGTGGACTTCACATGAAATTCCGCCATGATTCCAGTTCCAAGGGAACGTACACGTTACATTCAAAGGGCATTAAAGTGCGCGAGACGTGAATTTATATTGTATTTATTTACAGAGGTATATTATATCACACTTCACACTTCTCTAGTAAGTTTCGTCTGTGTGTGAAGACAGTAGCGCAAATCCGTGAATGAATGTTTCGAAGTGAAATTAACTTTAACGGAATAAAGTCGAATCGATTTGAATTGAATAAAAGTTGGATAAACTTCAACTTTACTGTTCAGCGCACTGATGTCAGACTCATTTTGGATAATAAAGTTTGTTAAATTGTTAATAAATGCCCTGCCTCCATTACGTATCTCTGTCACGTCATTATAAGTGTTTGATCACCACATTTGAGTGATCATTGCAAAAAATGTGTTTATATATATTCTGTTTATGTATATATTGTATCCTATATATAGTGGAGTCAAATGTGTGGACACACGAATGGGAATGTGTCCAAACTTTTGACTGGTACTGTACTATACACAAAGAATATCGGCCGATATATCAATATATGCCTTTTTTTACTCCCTAATATCGGTATCGGCCCCAAAAAACCTTATCGGTCGGGCTCTAGTTCCTACGACATAGTAACAGCAACTGCAAAAATAATTCAAAGTACAAACTAACCACAAAAAAAAGGCAAAACTTTCACGCTAGAGCATTTACAGTGCAGTGTGGTTACATTTACCATAGCTTGGCTAATTTTCGCTGATGAAATCCAGTCATTTTAATAAGAATACATGTAATTGGGAAGTTTCCTATGCAGATTTTGTATGGTTCACAAGGTCATGCAAATTTGCCATAACGACCAACAAAAGCTCCTTGTTTTGACTTCTGTGTAAAACCATAATGTGCATAATGTGTGCAGATGACATACTATGTACTGCATATATTGTATAGTACGAGTAGTATACTATTCTGAACTGTTTAGATAGGCAGCTCGCTAGATTTTGAGAGACAGCCTACGACTGCCAACAGTTTAACGACTCCATATTTAATCTGGAACCCATGACACTCGGTAAAGTCGGATCACATGGTAGAACACTTTCCTTTAGCATGCATGAGAAAAGCAGAATGCCATCCATTTCAACAGCACACCGCAACAAATAATCAAGTGCGTACTCATCATGCGCGTCTTATATTGACGCTGCTTTTGAACTATAAAGGCGTTATAGAGTAATGGAGGCTTTAGCCTTATAGTAAATGGCTGTTTATTTAAAACGGCTTGTTTCGCAATACTCCTCACCTGTTTCAGTGTGCTGTAAACATACAAGCAGAAAGTGACTGTATTTGATGCGGCTGCTGGTTGTGCATTTATATAAAAGCAAGACAGCGCTGTAAAATCCATATCTGATCGATTGTTATTGAGTTAGGGGCATTGAATAAAAATGTCATCTTATGTATATTAGCTCGAGACAACGATCTGAGGAAAAAGTGGTACGTTTTAAATGAAATGCAAATGTAAAACGACACAATCCAGCGCGACTGTCAGGGTAACTAGACGCACCTGATTATTCAGAGCCTGAATAGAGATAGATCAACATCACAGCGTGTAAATGACTGATTTTAACCAGGAAGGAAGCTTATACACAGATAAACGACTATTAAATCGTCTCAATGTCCTTTAACAGCATAACAAATGAGCTCGTTTGCTAACGTCAGTTAGCTTTCATGTCAATTACAACATCTCTCTTAACAAATCCACGACCAGTCTCTGGATTGAACATGTACAAGCATACATATTGATTTTACAACTCACCTGAAGCTGGAGATCTAGTAAATATGAGTCTGTATTAGTGCTGTGGTGTAGCCTGTGAGCTAAATTGCTACCGTGCCCTTACACAAGCCTGATGTTTATGAAGAAAACAAACAATAACTTCAGCCCCTGTCGCCAGCGGAACACTGGGTCGCTTAGGCTAGTGTATGAGTTAACTAATCCGGAATCGGGGATACCGATACGGGTGCTGCAATCGTTATTGCCCCCCTCCCCCCTGTTAAATGACGGGTCTTTTTCTCTCTCTTTCTGTTTCGGGATCTGCTTTAACTTCCTCCAAAACAACCCTAGTCCTCGCGTACAATATGGACAGGCGAGAGTTCACAGCCTCCCTTCTGGTAATGCTCATTTTATGTCTATTATACGTGCTAAAAGCAAAAGCGTGGGCATCCTTCCTCATGAGATTAACTATGTATATGAAATAAATACAGTAAAATGTAATATAGTAACAGTGTTGTCATGCTAATGTGTCAGTGTACACTCTATCTGAGGTTTTTTTGTTTCAGTCATCTCAGACTAGTCCTTTTTAAAGCAATTTTGATCATGATTATGATGACGGAGATGACTGATATTAAAGTAATGACGAAAATAAAAGTCTTCATAAAAGTCTGCTGTGATCAGCAAATAAACAATACCCACATCTAGTTTGTTGTTGTTGTTGTTGTTGTTATTAGTAGTAGTAGTAGTGTTGTTGTTAGTGTTAGTAGTAGTAGTAGTAGTAGT